ACCATGAGTTTTTTCCAACTGTTTATCCATCAAACCCAAAAGGAAAGTATCTGGTTTTGACTGAATATTGATCTTTAAAATCTTCAGTATACAGATATGTATCTGATTCCAATTTTTTATTTTTATATTTTATTTTTTGCTTTTTTACAAGTCCACCGAAGATGATAAAATGTCCCTTCTTCTTGTTCACATTTCCAGCATACATTCAAAGTACCTTTATACATTTTAGATCATTTTTCTGACGATGTACCAATAATACATCACTTCATAAAAATTCTCTTTAAGGTTATAATACAATGTAAATTTCAGTCTTTTCTGCCACATATTTTCCCATTGTTCCATCTGTACATTGTAGCCAAAGTTTTTAGCCCATTTTGTCATACAGTCCTTAACTTGTTCATCTTCTGTCTCTAGTTTGAGGAAAAGTTTATACAGTACATCTTTGCAATATAACATGTTCATCATTAGTACATAATTCTGCTTCAAATTCAGTCTTACCATATTCAAAACCATACATCCTTTTATCTATTTTAAATCTTTCTCGTCATTGTACATAAGAAACCATTGGCACATGTATCCTTCTGATATCAATTCCTCTTCTGTCTTTAAAGTCCCTTTGAGAAAATTCCAACACATCACCATAAGTTAACCATTTATTTTTATTATCATTTCTTTAGGTAATAATGGTATAGTGGCCTCCTTCCAAGACTCTGGCATTCCACCTTCCAGCAATATAAAGTTCATCATAGATTGCAGTGGTTGTAGAATTTCATCCTCAAAATTTTTATAATATGATCCTGGAAGCCCATCTGGTCCTGGGGCTTTACTTGGGTTAAACTTTTTTATAGCTTCAGATACTTCCATTATTGTTATGGGTCCATTCATAATTTGTCTTTGTTTATCTGAAAGCTTTGGCAAATTTTGTTTTTTTAAGTAGTCATATATTTTTTCCAGAGAGAGATCCTGTCTTTTATATAAATTAGAGTAATACTGATAAAAAAATTTTTTTGAATACTCTCATTGCCTGTTATTACAGTATCACCCTCTTGAAGTTTTGTAATCATTTTCTTTTCTTTCTGCTTTCTTAGTTTATACGCCAACCATCTCCCCGGCTTTCCTTTATCTTCATTTGGAGTATAAAGTCCCAAGACAAATTGTAATTTGACTTCTACTCTACAAATGTACCATGTTCATCAGCCAAAACTAATTTTGGTTTTAATTGTGGGTTAACATATAACACAACTCCATTAACTTTTTTTGGACCTGCCAAAATAAATTCTTATCCCAAATTCTTATAAATCAAGTATTTTATGTCCTTCTTTTTAACATGAGTTTCTTGTAATCAAATTACATCTTGTTTAAGTTTTTTTAAATGTGAAATACTTTTCTTCTCTATTTTGGAGCCTTTGCACGATTAATATTCCATATTAGCCATTTGTAATCCATAATTAAGCCAGTAGTTTAGAAAAGTCTATAACTGTGGCACCCAACTCAGAGTCCTCTTTTTCATCTTCCTCCTCGGTCTGTTTGACTTTTGAGGTTGTCTGCTCTTCCTCCACTTGCATCTCCTCCAGGTCTCCTTTAAATTTTTCCAGAAATTCTTTGGCTTTAT